AAAAAATGCCATTAATTAACTTCTATGTTTCCATTTGCTGTTCGGTTGCATACTCTTTGATTCTTCTTTATTCATCACCAATTTTGTAATATCATTATCTTTAGAGCAAATAGGAAGCAATCTTCCTGTAGCTTGGTTGACTGAGAATTTTTAAAAATTGTTGGTCATAGGGGGCTGGGATGAGTTAAAATAGGTGATGGGCATTAAGGAACGCACTTGTTCTGATGAACACCAGGTGTTTTGTGGAGGTGTGGAATGACTACATTATACACCTGAAATGCCAACCAACAGGAATTTAAATTAAAAAATTAAAAAATTGTTGGTCAGGGGTGTCTGGTGTCTGGGTAGTTCAGTTGGTTAAGCATTGGACTTTTGACTTCAGCTCAGGTCATGATCTTATGGTTCATGGGATTGAGCCCCATGTCCAGCTCTATGCTGACAGCATAGAGCCTGCTTGGGATTCTCTCTCTCTCTCTCTCTCTCTCTCTCTCTCTTTCTCTCTCTCTCTTTTATTTCGTCTCTGCCCCCCCCCACTTGCTCATGCATGTTCTCTCGCTCTCAAAATAAGTAAACTTAAAAAATATTGCTCATATAGTTAATTATGGATAGTTTCTTTCTGATTTACTTCTCTTCATTGGTAATGTCATGTAAAACTTTAGGATTGTTTGCAAATTTGGGAAAACCTCTGATTTAGTTACTATGGCTCTGTAACAGTCCCCAAACCTAATGGTATAAAACAGCAACCACTTTATTAGGCTCATAGATTAGGGTCAGAGATTCAGAAAGGGGGGGCTCCTGGGTGGCTCAGTAGGTTAAATGTCCAACTCTTAACCTTGGCTCAGGTAATGATCTCATCATTCATGAGATCGAGCCCCCATGTCAGGTTTTGTGCTGACAGTGTGGAGCCTGCTTAGGATTCTCTCTCTCGCTCTCTCTCTCAACAAACAAACAAACATTTAAAAAGAAAAAGAAATTTAGAAAGGGCACAGGCTGGTGGTGACTCAATAGTTGGGCTGGAACCATTTGAAGGCTCATTCATCCCCAGGCCTGGACCTGGGCTGGGGGGATTTGGAGACAAGCCTGCAGAGTCCAGCCCCCACTCCTGACCTCTCCACAGAGGTTTGCTCCACAGGGCAACCGCAGGGGGACTTGGGCATCTCACATGGCTCTCGGCAGAAAGAGGTGCCTCACATTTTATGACCTAAAGTCAGAGTCAAGCAGCATCAAGTTCCTCACATCCTATTAGTTAGAGAGAGTCTGTGGTCCACAGATTCAAGACGAGAGCATTTTGCCCCCATGTCTTGCTGAGGGTGTAGCAAGGTTCTAGAAGAACATGGAAGATGGGAGATACTGTTGCAACCATTTTCAGAAAAAAATCAAATCTGTCACGTCTTTCAAGTGTCTCTCATACCTGAGCTATTGTAGATGTGCTCATTACTTATAGTAGAGGAATGTGGTCACTTCCATTTCTTGAGATTCCTATCAAATAAAGGAAAAAAGACATTCCAGAAATTAAAAACATCTCTGTCAGGAGAGACTTCTGTTTTCATCAGGTGTCAATGGAAACTAAATTTTTCACTTAGGATTTTATATGTCTTGACTGGACGAATTTTCCACAGATTGGTTTCTGGCTTTGTATATTTCAGAACTTGTTTCTCTTCCTCTACGCTATTCTTCTCATACTTCAATACAACCTCTGGTCCTGTATCTCTGTGTCACAATGTCAGATGAGTCGGCACAATGGGAGGTAGGAGTATTTCTGGAAACTATTCCTAAACCACAAAGGCGAGCAGTAACTTCAGTATACATGAAACTGACTGCAACCCATATAACTATGTCCCGATAACTCAAAATTAATTATGTCTCTAACTCACCTTCTCCTTAGCCAGATCCGAAAAATACACAGTCATATCAATGGGAACAGAAGAGATGAAAGAATGGGAAACCAGAGTTCTCACCCAGTTGTAGTTTAGAAAGCTTACTAACTTTTTACGAACACCTTTGAGTGAGCACAAGGACCTAGCGCTAGGGCCCTCTGAGAGCCCTGGACGGGCATGTGCAAGAGGAGGGCCCAGTGTCAGCAACATTAGCTTCACAGGAAGCCCACCTCTGCCTGCGCAGGGTAAGAATTCCTTAAGCGTGAGCTATTATTGTTGGCTCCATTTTCTGAAAGTCCTCCCGTTGCGGTGGCAGGATGTCTACCCTCTGTAGCTTCAGATTCATATCCTGCCAGGTTCTTGTTCAGCAGGAAAGACAAAGCACCTCTTTCAGGACTTCATGTACCAGGATTTCGTTTGTACCCACTTGAGTCATGAGTCCAACGAACCGGATGCCTCATGTTGCATTGTTGCGGCCAAAGGTGGAACAACACTCCCCACACAGTGGGGGCTGAGAGTGGGGAAGGGGCTGCTTCCACAGAGGCAGTCTGGGGAAATTAAAGGGTCTATGAATGCTGAATGAGAAAAAAGATGTCCATTTCCTGTGAATGTAGAGCAAACTCTGAGAAGAGAGAGCAGAAGGAAAGGGGAAGGCCAGCAAAGGAGGGATGACAGGATGGAAAATGGAGGTGTCCAAGGTCTTCTGCAGCATGGCAGCTTGGGTAAGGCCTGCCCTGGTAGAGGCTAAGCAGACACATCCCTCCTCTGAGGATCCCACTGGCCTGGGTGAGCATCACGTGGCCTTAGCCAAACCCTGCTGGGCCTACCGGCCCTGCTTCAGACTGACCACTCCCAAATCCCCTCTGCCTCTCTCCTGTCCTCTCGCCCTGATCTTTGTCCCTCTTGGTCCACCTGTTCCTGTCCTGCTCCCTCATCACGGCCTTTGCAGAGAGGTCTGGGGTGGGGAGGTCTTATGCCAACAACTTTGCTTCCTGGTTCCTGGTTCTTCCCCCTTCCCACTTTGAGAGAGAACCAAGTAAAATGCTAAGTCTTGACACATAATTCCTTTCTTCTTGTCCACTCCGAACTCTGTGGCCCCTCTGTAGACCTGCTCCAACAAGGTAGCCACTAGCTATTGCGGCCACTCTATTACACTTCAAATGTAGCTAGTCTGAATTAAGATATGCTAGAAGTTCTGGGAAAACCGGACAGTTCCATGCAAAAGAATGAACCTGGACCACTTTATTACACCACACACAAACAGAAACTCAAAATGGATTAAAAATCTAAATGTGAGACCTGAAACCATACAACTCCTAAAAGAAAACATCGGCATACTCTGGTTTCTCTTCAGATCCTATAAATCTTTTTAAAAGAAAACACAGGCAGAAAACTCTTGGATATCAGGTTTAGCAATATTTTTTGGTGTCCGTCTCCTCAAGCAAGGGCAACAAAAGCAAAGCTAAGCTATTGGGAATACACTGAACTAAAAAGCTTTTGTTCAGTGAAGGAGACCATCAACAAAACTGAATGAGAGAAGTTGTTTGCAAGTGGTATATATGATAAGGGGCTAATATTCAAAATATATAAAGAACACATGCAATTCAATACTAAAAACACAAACAATTAGAAAATGGGCAGAAGACCTGAATAGGCATTTCTCCAAAGAAGATATTCACAAGGTCAACAGACATATGAAAACATGCTCAACATCACTCATCATCAGGGAAATGTGTGGAAGCTCATGTTATTTTATAACTGGGGGTTACCTCACAGCAGGTGATACTTCAGCTCTGCCTCTGTAGCTTTTCCTGCCCACCTGGTGGTTACAGATGAGACTCCCATCCATTCAGGGGGATGTTTATTCACGCAGCAAGATGTATTTCTCAGGACCCCTGCCAGTCCAGGGATGGCTCTGAGTCTGGCTCAGGCCCTGGAAGGTGGATGGGCACCAGGCTTGGCTAAACCCAGCCTGGGAAAGGGGACACAGACTTCTAGTCCAGAGAGCACAATCCTGGGCTCTGCCACTCACCAGCTGTGTGACTTTGTGCATTGCTTCCTATATGACCCACTTTGGAATAAGCTGTTCTTCATAGCTGTCTACATTTTACACTGACTTTTTCATTAGATTTTATAGCTGGTTCATGCAAATTAGAAATATTCCCATTCAATTATTTTTCACTTTTTCATAGACTCTTATTATTTTTCTTTTCTTCTTCTTTTTTTTTTCAGGGGGGGCAATTCTGTAATAACACTTTTTAGATCTATTTGTGCTAAGTTAACGTTCATTCGATTTCACTTGCCTTGAAAAACAAATCGTATTGTTCAATTACATAATGAATTGAAATAACTGAATTCATGTCCTTTTAGGAGAACACTTCGTGCCACTGTGTACACTGAAGACTTTAAACAGATGACTTCACAAAGTTTCCTTCTGTAATAGCCATAGTCTAAGTCTCCTGCTTGGTCTCTGTTACCTTTATTTGGTAAGTTTGCCATTCGAGTCTCATGGAAATCCTCCAAACTCCTAGGATTAGCCAAAGGGAAGGGGTGAGGGTAAAGTTGAGGGTGAGGGGCTTAGAGCCACGGTCCAGACGCCCCCTGTAGCTCTCTAAGTTCTGCACGGGGCCTGCCATCCCCGGAGCCCCAGGATCCCAGAGAGTTTCCCGGGAGGTCTGGCCTCTTGTCTCCTCTCCTACGCTCAGCCCTCCTCCCTGAGAGGCTCGCCTGGCTCAGGCTGGGGCTGGGCCGCAGGTGCCACAGTTCTGCCCCTACCCTGTCGCAGACCTTCAGCCTCAGGGGAACCAGCTTCCTGCCACTGCTCCTAAGACCGGTCTCCCCTCCTTGCTGCTTCTGCAATTCCGATGCTCCAGGTCTGAAAGCAGTGCTCCACCTGTGGGCCCTGGAGCCCTGCCAGAGGTTTCTGGAGATGCTGGTTGGCCCAGCCTCTTGGGGAAGAGGAGAAGATGCTAGGCTGAGGGAGTGACCCGTGGGTGGAGCCCCAACCTGTTTATAGGATCGTGGCTCCTCGCAGCCTGACAGATTCACGGTCCCATCCCCTTGGAATAGCCAGCCAGCCACGGGACTGGCATCTTGGCAGGAGCGGGAGCCTGGAGTGTCAGTATGGAAAGATTGACAACTAGGGGACCACTTGGCCATCCTCACCAGGTAACAGTATTGACAAGCCCTTGGGCATCGCTTGGGGCAGGGCCTGGGGCCTGGGGCCAGGGTGCATTCTGAGAAGCCTGACACAGCTAAAACCAAGGTGATTCTGGGGAAGCCCTGGGTCCCAGAGCTGGGGTCTCTGCCTAGGCAGAGGCCAAAGGTGGGAAGCAGAAAGTAAGAGGTTCTGTGCTTGGGGAGGGGGAGTGGGTGGGGGTGGATGGATGATCAGCTCTCATAGAAGTAGAGGGCCTGGGAGACTGGAGCCTGCCCTCTCCACTGTGAGTGATCAGCCAGCAGCCCCCTTAGAGCATCTTACCCTCCTTCCTGCAAAAACTCACAGGCTGCATCAGAGAACGTAGTGGCAGCATGTCACCAAAGGATAACCCCCCAGGCCCATAGTTCACCACTGCAGGTAGTGAACTTCCTGGAAGTGGCTGGGGCCAAGGGACCACCCTGTATGTCTCAAGAGCTTTGCCAGGCCAGTTCCCCATCAACGGCCAGTTACTTCCTGGGCCCAAGAGATGAGGCTGCAACCAGGCCAAGGCGGTCTATAAAGCACTAGCCCCACTCCTTTCACATGCTTCCCCTTAGCCCAGATTTCTCATCCTCTGCTGTAGATGAAGGCCAGAGGGACGGGCTGCTCAGGTCTCCCCTGGGGCCCCAGGCAGTGGCCATGACAGGGGCTAAGTGTGCTACGCTCACTGTCCTGAGGCATTTGCCTCATTCTTCAGATGGAACCTTGGCCCTGGGACCCAGGCCTGAGTCAGATCCAGTCAAACAGCTCCAGACTGGTGTTTCTACAGCAGATCTGCCTGGCTCAGGACAGGTACCAGGCAATTTGGGGGAATATAGAGAGCCTCCCCTCCCCCATTGACGGATGACACCTGCTGTCCCAGCCCACGTCAGTCTCAGGTCTAGAGGATCACCCCCTTCAAGTGGACCTTAGTGGAAACGCCCTGACGGGGGGCTGGGAAGAACCCAAGGCTGCAGGAACTGGTGGTGGAAGGTCTGGACAGCCCTGACTCAATCTGCTCCTCCCTTTGAGAAACTGGGCCTCTGAGCCCACAGCCTCCAGCTGGGGAAGTGTCTGAAGTATCTGTCTTCATCCTCATCTCCCTGGAGAAAGCAGGGCATCCTCTTCCTGTTACCCTCTGCCTGCTCTAGGCCCAGCCCAGGGGCAAAACTGGAGCCCAAGATGCAGTGGCTCTGGGAGCTTGAGTGTGCCCACATGCCTGAAAGCACCTTTCCTGCAGCTCATGTTGTTGGGACTGACTGAGTCCCCAAGACCAGGACCTTAACCCTCAGTCTTCAAATCGGCTCCTGGGGCAGCCTCAGCAGTGGCCTCAGCCAACCTCTTTTCCTGCTGGAAGAGGGGACTGGAGCCTGCCCTGGCAGCGGGAGCTGGGCTGGCAGGACAGGCTGGGCATCCAGGACTTGCTCTGGGACGTGCCTGCTGTGAGATCAGGAAGCATCCTCTCAGCATGACTCAGGAGACCTGGCTCCTGAGGCTGTACCTGAAGTTTCCAACCCTGTTTCTCCAACCTCCTCTACCACACAGATCGCTGGGTGCCAGCTGGGGGAAAGGCAGCCTGCTCATTTTTCTCCTCCTGGTGAAGACCCCGTGGTCACAGATACTCCTGACCCCTGTGTGGGGTCTCCAACCCCCTCAGACTCCCTTGGTCATACCCCCTGTGATGAGCAGGGGTCAGCACTTGAGTCTCTCCACATGGAGGCTGGAGGATGCCCTGGGGTCCCTGCATAGGGAGAAACAGTGGCTGACACTTTGAGCAGAGCAGGGAAGTACTCCCAGGATCCTCCAGGAAGTTGGGGTGGGGGACCTTGCTTGAGAAGCTGCCACAAGCATCCAGGCTCAGTCATCGATTAAGTCAGGATTTCAGATGGGAGGACATTTCAACAGGGAAGGGGAAGCCCCAGTGCCCTCAGGAGAATCCTGTTAATTAGTTCAATATTCATAGTGGTCTAAAATAAATCTATGAAATTCTACTGTCAAGATATCCACAGGGCAGTGTGGGAAAGTTGCATGCTTTTGCAAAGAAGCAAAGTCCTGGGAAGGTAGAACAGCAAAGCGTTGCTGGTGTCACTGGAATTAAGCCCAAGAAGGGAGAAACAAGTATAATTTACAGGGGGTTTCGGTCAGGGTGGGGGTGGGGGGGTTGGGTATCACATGTGCTCTGCCAGAAAGCTGACCGGAATGACAAAGACACTCAGCATGAAGGCATAGGAAAGTGATGTTGGGACCCACAGGGCACTGGCCCTGAGCGGCTCTGCTGTAGCCCATTGTCCTTTAAGTTTCTCTATGGGAATAGAGAGCTTGTCTGTGGACACTGAGCCAGCCCCCAGCAGGCAATGCCTGTGGAGAGCCGAGATGGGTTCGTGGGAGGAGACTTCTGGCTCACAGGCACAGAGGGATCTGGTGGTGGGAGGGCACAAAGCAGGAAGGCTCCTTGGGTCATCACAGCACTGTCTCCGGACGCGCGAGGCTGAATATCCATCATGCAAGCACAATGTCACCTCTGCCTCAGCTTGCAGGGACTTGCTGTAAGAAACTTGTGCAGGGTGCCCAGAAACAGCTCCATAGCCAGGCCTCAAGAGCAGACACCCCAGGCCCCTGGGATCTAGGCAGTGGCAAGGACTTCAGCAGTAGGAGTGTGAGGATAGCCCTCGTGTGCCCTGTCCCCAGCAGGACGTGGTGCACCCTACTTGCCTTCTGCTTTTCCTTTGCCACCTCTGCTCCTTTTACCCCTGTGAGCTTGTGCCCACTCAGTTCTTTCTTCCTCCTCATTGGGCTTGTCTGTGGGCTGATGTGGCCTCCCCAGTGCCTTAGTTCACAATGGCCTCTTGTTCACGGTAATGGCCTCATGCCCTAGGTGTTCCCTATTTCACACTCAAGAGAGGGTGAGTACCCATGGCTGTCACAGATGACTGAACTTCCCAGGGCCCAGCCTCCCTGGTGTCGAGTCCCACGTCCCGTCCAAAGGGATGGGGTTGGGGGGTACCGAGCAGCACAGTCACATGATTCACCAAAGGGCTGCCCTCTCTGGGGGCGGGCAACCCCAAACTGACATGTCCAGTGTGGTGGCCATTCCTTGGCCCTCTTTTCCCTGCTTTTACCACTGCACTGTGCTATCCTGTCCCTAAAGGGAAGGGGTCCCACAAATTCCACCCCCTGGGTTGCCTGCCATGCATTGGCTGCTACAGCCCAGGACCATAGCCCCAAGGACAGCGGTGGGCACAGGCTGTTTGGCCCCAGAGCTGCTGGCAGCACCACTGAGAGTCTCAGGAGAAACCTCAGCATGGACTGGTGGGCTCCAGTATGGGCGGGAGGGACTGAATAGTCTGTTATTTCTCTCCAGGTGGAGGCCTCTGCCTGCTGGCGGCTCACTGTGAAGGTCCTGGAGGCCCGGAACCTGGGCTGGGCTGACCTGTGTGAGTAACTATTTCCTGGGCTCCAGGGGTGCAGAGACGACCAGATCCTTTGGGAAAGGCCCAGGCAAGAACCTGGTGGCTGGACTGGGCTGGTTGTGGTAGGAACCTGGTGAGGTCCCTGGAGGGGGGTGTAAGGAATTCTCTCTTACATTGTTCTCTTGACATTGGCAGTGAGTGAGGCAGACCCCTATGTGACCCTACAGCTGCCAACTGTAACTGGAACAAAGTTTAAAACAAAAACAATCACCAACTCCAGTCATCCTGTATGGAATGAGACCTTCAGTTTCCCAATCCAGAGTCGGGTCAAGGTAAAGGCCAGGGCCACCCTCCTAAAAACAGGCTATATCCTTCTTTTGGAACACATTTTCCTCCAGGGCCCATTCACAGACACTGTGGAAGAGTGTCTGTGTTCCCAGCCTGGATATGCTGTGTGGGAGAGAATGTGTAACTCAGCAGCTGGCTGGAAGCCTGACCTCTGGCAAGTTGCTGGTCCTCTCTAAGCCCGTCTGCGGAAGGGAGACAGGAAGAATCCCCTCCTGATGCGGTTGTTGTGAGGTTAAATGAGATAATGGATGGAAGACTCCTGGTACATATGGTACCCTGGGGGACCAGCAAGCTGGGGTGGAGGGGGGAGGGTTGGAGGTGAGGAAATGCTGAAAGATTTTATTTTTTATAAAAAAAAAATTAAAGGGGGAAGATGAGGAACTTTGCTGAATTTTCCTTTTACCGCTTTTAAGTTTTACTCTCATTTTTATTTTGAAGTACAAAGTGTGGAGGCATGATCTTCTTTCCTGACCCTGGACATAAAGTAAAGTTTCAACAGGTGTGAAGTACAATAATGAGTAAATAATGTGCTAAGTCGCTGTTCTCGTATCCCTAGAATGTTCTGGAGCTAAACGTCTATGACGAGGACTCAGTCACGGAGGATGATGCCTGCTTCAAGGTTCTCTATGATGTCTCAGAAGTCCTCCCTGGCAAGCCGCTCCGGAAGACCTTCTCAATGAGTCCCCAGGTGGGTGGGGACTCCTTTGGGCCTTGCCTCTCCCAACTCCAGGCTGAGGAAGTTATAGTTTCTCCTATCTTTTGGGATGCTGCTGGGTTGACTTGTTCACAAAAAGATGGAAACTCCTCCCAGAGATATTTATACTTTAATAGGAAAGGAATAGTCTTAACTAGGTTCCAGACTGAATCACTCCATGGAGAGATTTTGGTCACCTATGGGAGGAAGTTTTCAGTGATGAAGAACTTCCTAATGTCCATCAAAACACAGTTAGTTACAAACCCTTTGGGCAGTTGTGGGATCCATCACTCCTGCTCACAGCCTCTGATCTCCTGTGGTGCCCAGGCCTGCTTTATGAAGGCCTCTGCTCTTTCTCCAGCAGGTAAGGAGTGGGAAGGCAGGGTTCTGGGGTCAAGTCCCCCTCAAGAGGAACAGGAGATGGGCCCTGGGAATCCTTATGCCTCTTAAGGCCTGTGCTCATCCCCCACTTCAGCCCTGCCAAGAAGGGAGGAGACCTGTTATCTGCAGACTTATCAGCTGTGGGTAACTTGGGCAGGTAGATCATCTTTCCCTAAGCCTCAATTTCCTCATCTGTAAAGTGGGAATAATTGTTATACTGTGCATCCCTGTGAGACTGCTTGAGACAAGACAATGCATCATCAAAGAACTGTGTCAGCTCTAAAGGTGTGTGAATGTCAGTGACATGCTCATCTTTGATTTCAGGGACAAGAGGAGTTGGATGTGGAGTTCCTGATGGAAAAAACGTGAGTAATAATCACACAGCTCAGGGAGTGTGTCAGGCCCCCTGCTTTACTTAGGGAAGTGTCTTTCACCCAGATTCTCCATCCCTCATGTCCCCACCCCTGCCAGTCTGGGTCAGGGGATCTTAGAGGAAAGTCACTGCTTCTTTGGCCCCACGGTCCCTCTCTCTCCTCACCTTGCACTCTTCAGAAGCCACCTCCCTCATCCTGAATGGTATCAGGGCTTAGGGTCCATCAGTATCACCCCGGGAGGCCCTAGGGAGGCTGGAGGCTGGAGGCTGGGCTGTGAGGGGCAACCCAGTGCAGGGAGGATTCACCTTTGCCAGGCTGAGCACCCGATGTTTTGATTTTTCCAGGTCGGGACGTCCAGAAAACCTCATCACCAACAACGTCCTTGTGGTAACCACACTCCTCAGGCTTGTGAGGGGATCTGAGGGAGGGGCCCCAGAGCTGAAACTGAGGTGGGGGTTCAGAAGAGACACGGAGGGACAGGGCCTTGTGGTAAGACCACCCCTGGCCTCCCAGCTATATGGTCACCTGTGGCTGTGGTCAGGGGCTGGGGGCTCAGAGGGTCCAGGGCCTTCAGGGACAATGGAGAGACGGAGTTTGAGGCTCTGCTGAGAGGACGTCCTGGCCCAAGGCTGGATGGCTGAGGGAGTATTGGGGGAATTTCAGGTGTTCCTGACAGTGTTTCGTCACCTGTGATGGACTTAAGTTTTCAGCTTTGGAAGGTGAGGAAGTCACGCAGGCCAGGCCGGGCTGGGGTGTTAGTACTAAAGTAGCAGAGGCTCAGAGGAAATGTCCAGTGTGGTTGCTTCCAATTCGGGAGCTCTGGGATAGGGTCAGGGGGTCAGTCAGCTCCTCCTTGAGGCACTGGACAGTCCTGGTCAGCTCTTGTAAAACAGAGCAAGCTCATAAAGCTGCAGTGGACAGAAACAGGCGGTAAACAACACACTAGAAGCTTTCTACTCAAAGGTCACAGGTGAGCAACACAGCTATGATCTGGGAGCAGGGCTGGGCCTAAGGTGAGGTAAGGCATCTAGAGCCCCAAACTGAAGGAGGCATGTACCCTCAGGGTCATGCAAGTGCCTGTTTGATGGGCTAGTATCACTTTTACAAATGCACATTAAAATCATACCTAGGCAGCTGCTTTCTATCTGAGTGTCGGAGACCAGGGTGGGTTGATGAAGGCAGCAGGTCTACAGGAGAGGGTCAGTAACAAGAGCCAGGTGGGCTGTGGGCGTCAGCTGACGGGCATTGCAGAGAATGCTGCGGGCTCATTTGGCCAGCAGGTCAACGGGAGGACAGGTGGGAGGTACTGTCATTGCTGGCATTGTAAAGGCTTCTCCGATCATTCCATCACCCTGTAGATCAGTGGTTTGCATGCTACTGTTTGGGGTCAGTTGTGGTAGAACACTCTCCAGATTGAGTCCAGAGAAACAGAGAAGAAAGAATGGTGGTTGAGGTTTGGGTGGCCTTCAAGGATCCCTGACTTTTGGCAAATCTAGGAAAGCTGAGGGGATGGGATGCAGGGTGGAGATGGGGCTCTCCTGTCTGCTCCAGAACATCTGACTTAGCAGTGGCAGCAGATTAGAGGTGTCTGGAGTGGGGACTTCTGCCTCCAATCCCACTCTGGCCCCCACTTCCTGTTCTGCATGTGGTGGATTTGGGACAGAGGGGTTCAGAGGGCCTCGCAGAGGCCCCTGCCCATGATGTGGTCTGTCCTAGGCCCGAGAGCTGTCATGCCTGGATGTCCAACTGGACAGCGTTCGGAGCACAGCCACTGTCACAGGTGAGGCCTTCTCAGAACCAGGTCTGGTCTCTGCTAGAAGGGGTGGCTGGAAACCTGTACAGAGTAGGAGGTGAGCAGCAGAGCAGAGCTTGCCTCTTTCTTCTTGCCCGCATGAGACAAGGGCACCAGGTCTCCTCTGGGCAGGAGGGTCCCCTGGCCTGGAGGAGGCTGTATTGCAGGAGGTAGGAGTACCCTGGGGGGTGTGGGGCCCAGAAGGCTGGGGAGGGCTCTTTCCAGAATCCTGTCTACCACGGTCCAGTCTCCTAGGCCTTGGTCATGTCCAAGCAACACTGCCAATTTCGGTGGGACCCTGCCGGGATTCCTGGCTCTTGTTCCCCTTGTGCTAATCTGCCCACCTTCTCCCTAGATCAGGATGAGCTGGAGCTGGTGCTGAAGGGGTCATATGAAGACACACAGACATCTGCGCTGGGCACAGCGCCTGCCTTCCGCTTCCATTACATGGCAGCCCAAGAGGCAGAATTGAGTGGGCGTCTGAGGGTAGGTCTTGGCTTTGGAGCTCTCCCAGCCTTGGGCCAGCTCTGGTTGTTGTGGACCCCAGCCTCCCCCAGGTAGGCACCAAGCCCTTGGCAGACAGGGAAATCACTAGGAGCCTAAAGTGGGCATGGGGGCTGCATGCTTTGTCAGATTGAATCTTTCAATAGCCCCTGAATAAAATCCTATATCTGTACCCACAAGGCCTGGCCCTTGCCCACCTCTGCTGCCTCATCTTGGTCCACACATCCCCTCTTTATGATTCTCTAGCCATAGTTGTCTCTTCTTGCTTTTCCAACATGCCAAGTGCTTTCTCTCTTCCACCTCTGGCTCCTTTCAAGTTTGCCTGATCCTCTACCTTCTCTTCCTCCTCTTTTAGATCTCAGCTCAAATGGCACCTCTTCAGAGAGGCCCTCCTTGACTCCCCATCTTCAATAGACCCCCACACAGCCCACCTTTGGCTATGGTATCATATCACATTGCTTATCTCCTTTACAACATTTTTCCTTTACAGCACTTACTAACATCTGTTCATTACCTGTTTCATTATAAATTCATACACATGATCCAGTTAGAACTGTAAATATTAGCAAGTGTTTTTATAATTAGTAATTGTAATTATCATAATTATAAATATTGTGATTATTTTTATATTATCAGAGAGGGACTGTGTCTGGATCACTCTCTAGATACTCAGTAAGGATTGGTTGAATGAATGAATATTTCTCTCCAGAGGTCAGAAAGCAGTGGCTCCAATTCAGACAAGTCAGCTGAGCACCTCACTGTGCCCCTAAGGTCCTTGGCCGTGGGAGAGGAGGTGACCGTTAACATTCCTGCTACAAATGTGAGTGGCCTCAACTGGATGGGAAGTGCCAGTGAGAATAAAGATGCCCAGGCCCCGAGAGCTACCCACTTTTCCCTAGAATGTCTAGGACATTCTAGTTCAGTCTTTTGCTTTAATTTCAGGCCCCAGAAGTGAGGCTGCAGCTCAAGACTGAGAGCTGGTAAGGGACATTCATATCTGTGGGGGACAGTGAGGGGTGGTCACAGGGCAGGGGAATGCTGTGCAAAGGGTGGTCTTTGGGACTGGGAGCAGGGCTGTTATTTGGTAGCTATTGTGGGCTTGGCCAACCACCAGTGGCTGAGCTGTGCAGTGCCCCCTGACCCTTGGATCCTCTACTGCCTCAGCCCTAAGGAGCTGGCTATGCACCTGGGCTTTGATCTGTGTACAGAGGAGAAAGCTTTCCTGAGCAGGAGGAAGCAAGTGGTGGCCAAGGCTCTCAAGCAGGCCTTGCAGCTGGACAGAGACCTACAGGAGGATGAGGTTTGGGGATACAGGGGATGTGGGTACGATACCTTGGAATGACTTTAAAGAAGGACCTGATTCCTATGCCCTCCCTAAGACACTCTAGTCAGCAGATACGGGAGTGGATATGGCAGTGGAGGGGGGGAGGGTGGAAGGGAGGAAGGTAAGCTCTCAGTTTCTCATTCCCTTTGGGACTCTGTCTGGGGCTGAGAGACGTCACTTTCTGGGCAAGGGGCTGGGTGCTAATCCTGACTCTAATCAGGCCCTGACCATGAGGTCCCTTCCCTGGAGCCAGGAAGCAGTTCCTATCCTGAGTCCTTGCTAAGCCAGTCTATTTTTGTGTGTGGTCCAGGTCCCTGTTGTGGGCATCATGGCCACAGGAGGAGGTGCCCGGGCCATGACCTCTCTCTACGGCCACCTGTTGGCCCTGCAGAAGCTGGGCCTCCTGGACTGTGTGACCTACTTCAGTGGCATCTCGGGCTCTACATGGTGAGGGTGCTGGGGCCTGGAAGAACATAGTTGATCAGGTCCCAGAGGGGAGTAGAGTAGACACTAGAGAAACCTTCTCTGTGACGAAGCCATGTGGGTGTGAGCAGTATGGTCTGATGGGTGCCAAAAGTGGCTTTGTCAAAAGGGAGGAAGTAGCTGTTACAGAGGTCCTCCCGTGAGAGAGGCATTGTAGGACGTCCATTCCACGCTACTGAAGAGATGTAGGGCAGCTGATTCAGAACTAGCTGGGGTTGAGTCTCTGCAACACCACTCCTAGGCAACTTATTTCTTCTGATTCTCATTTGACTCATCTCCAAAATGAGAGTAATAGTAGTACATACTCCATAGGACTGTAATGGGATGGCCCAAGTAAAACATTTAACATGTCTGACAAGTACCAGAAAATTTAAGTTGGTAGCTCTTTTTTCTTTAATCGTTATTAACTCATTAAATCCTTATAACACTCCCTAGGAGAGTTTCTCTTACTTCCTCTAACAGCATAGATGAAGAGATTTAGATGGAGAGATACTATCTTGCCTGAAGACACCATTGCCTTCCTATACCTCACTCTGCCTATGATGAGGTGGGGCTTTTCACTGTTAGACATTCACTCCTTTGAGTCTTACTGAAATGTGACTTTAAGGAGTAAAAGAAGAGTAAACTCTGAGGAGTTAGGTGACAGCTGTTGACATGTACCATCTTAAAGGGCTTGAGTACAGGCCCATGAAGATGGGCGTAGGGTCTAGATCTGTTCCATGCAATGCAGTAGCCGTTAGTCACCTGTGGATATCGGCCACTTGAAATGTGGCAAGTCCACACTGAGATGTGTTATAAAGTACATGGGGATTTTGAAGTCTTAGTTTGAAAAATAGAAATTTATGTCAATTTTTATGTTGATTACATGTTGAAATGATACATTTTAGATATATTGAATTAAAATATATTATTAAAATTAATTTTTCTTAGCCTCCTCTTTTTCAAAATGTATTTACTAGGAAATTTCAGATTACATACGTGGCTCACATCATATTGGACAGCACTGATCTGAGAGAAGGCCCTGAGACACATTCTCTAGATGGGCAGGGCCTTGGCTGCAGGAGTGCCATGTTGGGAGAGAGTCATTGCAGCAACCCAAGCTGGGCCTCCATCCCCCTCCATATTGTCCCTTTATTCTCCCAGGGCAATGGCCCACCTCTACGGGGACCCTGAGTGGTCACAGAGGGACCTTGAAGGACCCATCAAATATACTAGGGAGCACCTGACCAAGAGCAAACTGGAGGCCTTCTCCGCAGAGCGCCTAGCGAGCTACCACCTGGAGCTTGAGCTGCGGGCTGAGCAAGGCCACCCCAAGACCTTTGTGGACCTGTGGGCTCTCTTGCTGGAGTCCATGCTGCACGGCCAGGTAGGGCACCTATGCTTGCAAGGCGGGGCGGATATTCACCTGTGGGACCAGGGCAGCCTTGCAGTTAGTCGTGTGTGCGTTTCCTATAGGGTGAGGGAGGCTGGGATCTGTGGTTAGAGGAAGTGGGAACCACAGTGTCTCAGTGTGTGTCCTACTTTGGGATGCTGCCTTTTTGAGTCAGACTATTCTTCAGTTCATTGCCATGAAACAGAAATTTCTGGATCTCTCAAGAGCTTAGGGAGCAGTCAAAGCAAAGGCAGTTCGGCAAACAAAAGTTTCACATTATGTTTGGATGTCAGAGAGATTGCTTGAACAACTTTTATTTTATCAATACTGCAATGTAGAATGCATTCTTCTTCTCTATCTTCATGATAGTGTTAATAGCATAGACTCTGGAGCCAGATTCCCTGGTTTTAATCTCAGTGCCTCTTACTCGCTAAGTGTTCTTCTGCAAGTTACTTAACCTCTCGGTGCCTCAGTTTTCTCATTTGTTCGAGGGATGGGAGAGATTTAGGGGAGATTTAGTGAGAATAGTTCTTAACTCATGGGTTTGTTGTGAGCACTCTACACTTTGGAACAGAGTAAGTGTTAAGTATTAGCTATTATATTTCTGTACTGTTACTGTAACACCATTAAGGCCAGACTGAGGGTATGCTTTTTTTCTACATTGCTTCTTTAAGGAAGGTTTAGTAAGTCAACTGTTAAATCTTACATTAAGTGATACTAAAATTAGTAATTTTTTCCACTATTGTTTTACCACATATAATTATGTGAATGCTTCTTTTAAAGTATGTGGAACAGCTAAAACACAAAAGGTTATCTTCAGCATTCATAATAAAAAGTAAACCATCAAATATATTAGCAGAATAAGGATTCTTCTCTTTCTTAGTGCTGGGTATCAGGAGTTTGACCAAGAAAGATTTTATGTAAATGAATGAATGCCAAAAATAGATTTGCTTTGAATTTTTTTCTGTAAATTTTATCCTTGCTGGTGGGCACAATGCTATTTGGAAATTATTAACCATTTTTGTTTTTTATTTACTAGCTTAAAAATATTTATTGTAAAAATCAGTATTTCTTATTTAAATATTATGATATTCTTCAGATTATCAAGATCTAAAACTCCTGGTAAGAAAATGCATAAAGCATAAAGAATAGTGTAATGAATATGCATGATCTCGCCAACGAGCCTCAGAAATAAAATGTTACCTAGAGAGTTGAAGCCACCTGCAGATCCCTCCCCAGTCCCATTTCCTTCCCACCCCCAGAGGGAACCACCATCCTGAATTTTATCATCACACTCATATCTTTGGTCTTACATGTTACTGTATTATATAATACATAACATATAATTACATACTTTATTTAGCTTTATTGTATATCTTATTGTATACCTTTTATTATACATCCTTAAGAAGAATATAATGTTTCTTGCACACATGGTTTTGTACAAGTCCCCTGTGCACAAATGTTGCAGATTCTCTGAGCCTTGAAGATACACACCCAGCAGTGGAATTATTAGGCCATTTGGTACATGTATCTTCAACTTTCCTACCTATTGCCAAATCATTCTCTAGAAAGATTTCATTAATTTACACACGCACCCATCAATGTATCGTATTTTCTTTTTCTCTACATGCTCTTCAGAATTTTAATTTTTTGCTCATTTTATGGGTGTTAAACAAAATTTTGTTGTAGATTCCATTTCTTTGATTTTTGGTGAGACTGATCATATTTTCAAGTGTATTTGTCATTGGGACTTCCTCTTCCATGGAGGAAGAGATCCTTGGAGATCCTTTTCCATCTTTATATTAATTCATCCTTGACATTCTTTTGCAGGAACTCTTTATAGATTCTGGATACTAATCCTTTATCAGTTCTACCAAATTTTGATGCATAGTTTTAATATAATCCAGTGTCTCATTATTCCCTTTATGGTTTGTTCTTTTAGGTTCTTGCTAGAGAAATCTTTCCCTCTCCTAAGTCATAAAATCTCTTCCTATATATCCTTATAAAAGTTTTAAAGATTCATTTTCCACAATTAGGACTTTAATCCACCCAGAATATATCTTCAGGCATTATGTGGACGTGAATCCAATTTTTTTTCCCCATAGGATAGCAAACTTTCCCAGTATCACTTGCTGATTCTTCTTTCTCCATAAATCCGCATTGCTCCTTGTGTCGTGTGTTAGCTCTCATGTATTCATGGGACCCTTCCTGAGCTTTCCTCCATTTGAATGGGGCCGACTCCCTGTGCCAGTACTACCCTGACTTAGTGACTCCACATTTGTAATACATGTTGGTATCTGATGGGGCAGATTTACCCCCACTGCCATCTTGGTTTTTCTCAAAATTGTCTTGGCTCCTTTTGGTCCTTTGGTCTTCTATACATGTAATACAATCAGTCAGTCAAGTTTCATGAGAAAATTGGAATTTTTTTGAAATGGCATGAAATTTATAAACACCAAAGTAATTACTTCAATTATTTTTATTTCATTAATATATCCTGTGTATTCTTTAGATCTATTATTTAAGTTCATGTTCTGTTATGAGGATACAGTGTTTTATTAGTGGCTTTCCTGTCTGGTGGAGGTATAGTTACTATAGAGTTGGGAGAAGCTTCTTTTAACAGTTTACTTTATAATGTCCTGTAAAATGCAGTTTGATCTGAGGCTATAAAGAAAACTTTTATTTAATTAACATTTGATCTTCCAGTAATGACTTCATACATGTTTTATGTACAAGGGTTATAGTCCTTTTTTAAAATACAAACTTAATAAAGTTTTGGGTTTTTGTTTTTTTTTGGGGGTGCACAAGGAAAAAAAATCTCATGATATTATTGAACAAACAATGTGACTTTAAAAATGAGCACTGGTGTGGTTTTAAAATTTTTATTTTAATATTAAAGCTTTTCAAATAGTCTTTTTTTTTTCTTAGTTATCATGCTTTATCTCTTAAAGTTAACATTCATTATATGCTTTTCAAATTTTTTTTTATGTTTATTTATTTTCAAAAGAGAGAGAGAGAGGGAATGCAGCAGGGGAGAGGCAGAGAGAAGCATACAGAGGATCAGAGGCAGGCTCTGTGCGGACAGCAGACAGCCTGATGTGGGGCTCAAACTCACGAACCATGAGATCGTGACCTGAGCCAAAGCCGGACGCTTAACTGACTGAACCACCTGGGCGCCCCCATTGTATGCTTCTAAAAATAATTCTTTAATCAGAAAAATTTAGTATGTATTTCAAATTTAAGTTTTTGGGTAAAAGCATTTATTATCTCCATGCTATACAAATCCTCAGCTCCAAACGTCATTTTAGATGTCAGAAAATATAACTCCATAACAAATCAGTTTCATTAATATTAAGTATTATTAGAGAAATAGTATACCCTGAACTTTATACAGAACAACTTTATTAGGGTGCTTAAATGGGGGTGCTCATTTGGAAACTGGGGGCCTGGAGATCCAGAAGCTTGCCAACACTTCCTGGTGAGCTGCTAAAAGTTTTTGAAAAAGAGGGGTGCCTGAGTGGCTGTCAGTTAAGCATTTGATTCTTTTTTTTTTTTAATGTTTTGTTTTTTTTTTTATTTCTAGGAGAGAGAGAGAGAGACAGCGTGAGCAGGGGAGGGTCAGAGAGAGAGGGAGTCACAGACTGAAACAGGCTCCAGGCTCTGAGCTGGCAGTCAGCACAGAGCCCGACGCGGGGCTCGAACCCATGAACCGCGAGATCATGACCTAAGCTAAAGTCGGACGCTTAACCGACTAAGCCACCCAGGCGCCCCCTGCATTTGATTCTTGATTTCTGCTCAGGTCATGGTTTCATGGTTGTGGGATCGAGCCCTACATGGGGCTCCATGCTGGGCGTGAAGCCTTCTTGGGATTCTCTCTCCCTCTCTTGCTCTGTTCCCTCTCTCCATTCCTCTCTCTCTCAAAAAAAAAAAAAAAAAAGGAAAAAGAATGCTGGGTATTATTTCAGTAGGTGGAGGGGTGTGCTGACTCTCTCCCCCATGTCAGAAATAGTTTCATCTGGAGTAAATAAAGCACACATTTTCCCTCATCATACATGACAAAAGAGCAGGCAAACAGGATGCCTAAACAAAAAGAAGGGAATTATAGACTTACCCTTGGGGTGCCTGGGTGGTTCAGTCGGTTAAGCGTCCAACTTCAGCTCAGGTCATGATCCCCCAGTTTGTGGGTTCGAGCCCTGCGTCGGCTCTGTGCTGACAGCCAGCTCAGAGCCTGGAGCCTGTTTAAGATTCTGTGTCTCTCTCTCTTTCTGACCCTCCCCTGCTCATGCTGTCTCTCTCTCTCTCTCTCTCTCTCTCTCAGAAATAAATAAAACATAAAAAAAAAAAAGAAATTGCAGGTATTCATCAAGCTCCCTCTCTCTTCACTACATACACACTTCACGCCTGAGGGACTGACTTGTACGTATGACAAATAGTGCCAAGGGCTTACGCCATATTTGGGGATTCTTCCAGTGGGTTTCCTAGAACTCAAGTCCTATTGGGCACCACAGCAGAACTGGGGGAAAAGATGACACATCAGTGACAGAGGCTGTAGGGGGAAGAAGAGGTACACCTGCGTGTGGGAGGGGGGCTCCTCACCGAAAAGGTAGGGCTAGCATCCTGGGACACACATCTGGCCGATCATCAGAATCACCTGGGGAGACTAAAGAAAAAGCAAATTCCTACGTGGCTTTTACGATTCTCAGATCGAAACCTAGGAATCCGTATGTTTAATTTAGCACATTCTCAAAGTAAATCAGATCATAATGGCTGATAGGGCATTTTGGGAACCCCCTAGGTCTAGCTGCTGAGTGAGGAGACTTCCAGTTCAGAGAACATAAGAGAGGGATGGTATATCTGTGTGTGGCACATGCGCTGCTCTAGGACCTGTGGAAGCTTCCTTTCCCAGGTGGGGCTCCAGGCAGTCACCACCATTAACCTTGCTGATGCTGGAGATGAACCCTATTTGCATCTCTGGTCCAGGATAGAGTGAGATCTTTCTATGCCCCTGGAATTCCATGAGGCTCTGTGGAAAAAGAGAAAAGGCAAGCCACAGTTCTTGCCTGCCATCAAGGCAGAACTTGGAGTTTTATTGAAAAGAAAATTGGAAACAGAGGCAAGAATAATCAATGGGGTGCAACTTCAAACTGTGAAAAGCAGGAAGGAAAGGAAAGAGGAGGGAAGGCAAGGATGACCAGAAAGCATTTTGGAAGGGCTGAAACTTGAACTGCACTAATGTGAATCTAGAAGGGGCAGCCCACTCCCTGACAGAGCTTACAAAGTGTACTAAAAGGGGATTCCTGCGTCCTTTCTGGAAAGCAATGTATGTGGATATGTGCCTTCATGTCTGTGTGTTTGGGTCCACATCCACTCCACCCTTCAACCCATAAAGATGGGGCCAATGAAACCATAGGAGCATGGGTAGGGTATTGCTCTTGACACTGTAATCCTTGTGAATGCCATTCTCTTGAGATATGTGCAGTCCACAACCTCCATTGCCCTCCATGGTGATCCCGAATCAGGTCAGAATATGAGGGTGGGAGTGTGCGTTGACGGGTACACCCACCCATGCCACTCAAATTCCAATAAGGAGCTACCTCCTCACTCTCAGCCTGTGCCTCCAGGGTGCTCCCTACCTCACTTAAGCCTTCATGACTCCCACCCCAGGTGATGGATCAGAAGCTGTCCGAACAGAGAGCTGCACTGGAGCGGGGCCAGAACCCTCTGCCCCTCTATTTGAGCCTCAACGTCAAAGAGAACGATTTGGAGACCATTGACTTCAAGGGTACAGTCTTTAGTCCTGTCCACACTACCCTCCAACACACACACACACACACACACACACACACACACACATGCACACATGTGTACCTCCTGTGTACCCAGCAGACCTTCAGAGAATGTAAACAGAAAACACCTACCTAGAGTGCTCAGCCTTCTGGAAGGGAGGAGGTTCTGATGGGCTGATGAGCCAGGCAGCAGAGCCCACTGTCCTGGTGGTGGGAGGAGTGGGGATGTGGTCAAGGGGCTGGATGGGGGAGTGGTGAGCCCAGGAGTCAGCCAGGCAGGGAGGAGGCTAAGGCCTGCAGGGGGAGGGGGACAATGTCTTTGGCCTCTGTCAGAGCTGGGCCTCCCCTTAGCCCACTCTGCTCTGATTCCTGCCTCTTGTCCCTGTTCCCACAGAGTGGGTAGAGTTTTCCCCCTATGAGGTAGGGTTCCTGAAGTATGGAGCCTTTGTCCCTTCTGATCTCTTTGGCTCTGAGTTCTTCATGGGGCGGCTGATGAGGAAGCTCCCTGAGTCCCGGATCTGCTTTCTGGAAGGTGAGTGGTGGTGGTCACTCTGAAGATTCTGGCCAGTCCTGGGCCAGGCCTCACTGCCTAGTCATGATTCCCGTACTCGGGTGTGGCCGGGCCCCTGGGGGCGGGGGAAACTGGAGTTGGGCTGTGGGGAAGAGCTATTATTGCGGGGGCAGCCCACCTGCCTCCCCTCTTCCATCGCCACCCTCCAGGTGATGGGAGGCAGGGTGCTGAGGCTTGAGGGTGACTTCTGTGGGGGTTTGGCCTTCAGGTATCTGGAGCAACATTTTGTCCCTGAACTTGCTGGATGCCTGGTATGACCTCATCAGCTCTGATGACACCTGGAAGCAGCATGTCAAGGACAAGATCAGGAATCTGGGTAAGAATAGTGCACAGCACGGGGAGCCTGGAATGAGTCTACTGCCTCTTCAGGTGCTTGCGGGAGGGGCACTATCAGAGGGGAGACAGGGCCAGGCATTTCCAGGCCTTTCACTGGACCAACGTCTGTTTCTCTGAGCCCAGAGGAGTCTCCTGCGTCCGTGAGGACCTCCTCATGGCGGGAGGCCTCTTGGCTGCAACCTGGAACAATGCTGGCCAAGGCATTTAAGGGCTTCCTGACAGGCAGGCCACTCCACCAGCACAGCCTCAACTTCCTCCAGGGCCTCCAGCTGCACCAGGACTACTGTAGTCAGAGAGACTTCTCCACCTGGGCAGGTAAGGCCCCCTGCCGTGTATGGACCATGGCTAGGACCGGCAAGGGACTTTGCGGGGGTGGGGGAAGGGGGGCAGAGCATTCCCTTCTAGGGTTGGCCTGCAGAAGGTCTTGGGAAGGGCTGGGTGGCGTGTGCTTTCAGGGAGTGACTCCAGAAGTCAGAAGGGGGCATGGAGGCAAATGTAGTATGAAAGGTGGAAAGGCTACCTCTGACTGTCACTGCCTCCCCCATCAGACTGTGATCTAGACTGCACCCCCGGCCAGCTTACCCCTCAGGAGCCCCAGCTCTGCCTGGTAGATGTCGGCTACTTCCTCAACACCAGCTGTCCCTCCATGTTCCGGCCCGGCCGCAGACTGGACCTCATCCTCTCCTTCGACTACTCCCCATCCTCACCCTTTGAGGTGCCTCTGGTTGCCCCATGGGAGCCCCAGATACTCCGGCCAGTCAGGCCATGCTCCAGGGGCAAGCAAAGGGCCACTGGACCACTGGCCCTGACCTCCTGGGTCCCCAACGGGAGGGAAGGGTGGCAGGCTCTGACCCACAGACTCCTGCCAGTGTCCTTGGTTGGGAAGGACTGTGGAGGTGCTGGGGCCCTTGGCTCCCAGGACAGGCAGATGGGAGGGAGCTTGCCGCACCTACCCCAAGAAGCACAGCTAGACAGAGCTGGGAGGAGACCCCGGCCTGTCCACATCCATCCCCGCAGGGCCCCCCTGGGGACTCAGGGGAGGGGGAATAGGGCCTTAGTACAGAAGTGGGTCCCCTACTGAGGCCCTCTAGGCGCTGGGATTTGAATAACCCTGATTTGAATCCCAAATGGGAGCAAGGGTGCTAGGTCTCTACCCAACCTGAAGATTTTAAGCAAACAGCATTGCAGACCACTGGAACCCTTTGCTTCCCTCCAAGGCACTGTAGCTTCACTAGACCCCACACAGGTCAGAACCAGGTGTCTTGACCCTGAGCAGTCAGTTTGGGCTGGAGCTATCCTAGCATTTTCAGGAACACTGACCTGGCATGACCAGAAGTAACTGGCTCTCTCTGGGCTCCCCTCTCCCCAACCAGACACTGCAGCAGACTGAGTTGTACTGCCGGGCCCGGGGACTGCCGTTCCCTCGAGTGGACCCCAGCCCTCAGGACCAACACCAGCCAACAGAGTGCCACGTCTTCTCGGACCCCACCCTCCCTGATGCCCCTGTCCTGCTGCACTTCCCACTGGTCAATGCCTCTTTCAAGGACCACTCAGCCCCTGGTAAGGCATTCCCTCCCCCCCTTTTTTTTTTAAATTTTTTTAGTGTTTTATTCATTTCTGAGAGAGAGAGAGAGAGAGAGAGAGAGCGTGAACAGGGGAGGGTCAGAGAGAGAGGGAGACACAGAATCTGAAGCAGGCTCCGGGCTCTGAGCTGGCTGTCAGCACAGAGCCCATCATGGGGCCCGAACCCACGAACCGTGTGATCATGACCTGAGCCAAAGTCGGACGCTCAACCGACTGAGCCACCCAGGCGCCCCCATCCCCTCCCTTCCTAACAGCCTGGCAGCCTGGACCCTCAGAGGCACAGTCTGGGTTCTCCCCAGCACTCCTGTGGCCAGCAAAGGGAGGGGGTCTTCAGGCTAGTCCCACCCAGTTTTGGACACAGCAGTGTGCTGGCTTCTGTTGTGGATGCCACATCCTCACAGGGGCTCTCTGTTGGCAGAGTCACTGTGTTGTTCTCTGTCATGACCGCAGGCTCCTTTGGCCTCCCCTCCCCCAGCCCTCCTAGCTGTACCTGGGCTCCTCAGCAGTCCTGTTCCAGGCTGGTGTCTGGGAATCCCTGTACCAGAAGCCTGTAGTGTCCCCGTCTGCAGCCATCTCCACCCTTGCTCAGACCCCACCTTGTTAGAGCGCTAGACAGCGGGGACAGAGAGGCCCCAGGTCCCTCGCTCTCAGATTCCCCTAATCTGAGATTTCAGTCTGCTTCTACCCTCCCATCCCAGCCCAGCCTGCCATGTTTTCTCAGGAAGCTGGGCCTCCACTCTAGGGCCCCTGAAATGTAAACCCTCATCACAAGCCTTCCAATCTTCCCCTCCTGCCAACGGGTCAGACCTTTAACTCCTTCTGGTGGGAACACCTAACTTCTGCCTTTGTACATTATTCCTAGCTTGCTGGTTCCCATTCTAATTCCAGACCTTCCAGCTCTACCCGTAACAGGCTCAGCCCACATCACGGAATTCTCTTTCCCTCTCAACAAAGACTCGTTCTTACAAAGCAAAGATCCCTTTGGTTTTCAGGCTCTTGGCTGAATCTTTCACTGACCTGACTTTGTTGTCTGACTATTTCCACCTTGCCCCTGAAGGTGATACAGAGAGATACTGTGGGGTTGCCTTTATAATGGAGGTGCATTGCTACGAGGAAGCAAACCTTTCATATCTCAAAAAAATCTCAAAAAAATCCTTTATATACTATCCGCATTTATATTTCTGGGCAAAAGACACAGGGCCGAGGGAAAGCAAGGAGCTCCGTCGGTGAGGAACAGCGCCCTCCTGTGCCCAGTTGCAAGGTTTCGTTCTGCCCACCTCTGAAGGCCTCTGGGTCCTCCTCCTAACCCTTCCCGTCTCTGGGCAGGTGTCCGGCGGAGCCCCGCAGAGCTCCCGGCTGGCCGGGTGGATCTCACTGGCACCACCTCACCCTATTCCCTGTTCAACATGACCTACAAGGAGGAAGATTTTGATCGCCTGCTACAGCTTAGTGACTACAATGTACGGAACAGCCAGGATGCCATTCTGCAGGCCTTGCGGGCTGCTGTGAAACGCCGGGCCCTAGCGGCCACACCTCCAACAGCACAGAATTGAGGCTGCTCAGGGACCCAGCCCCCTGACGACCCTCCAGGGGCTTAGGGCTTAACCCAAGCACAGCTGGCTACAGCCACAGACCCCACTTGGGCTGGAGCTCTGTCTGGGCTGTCCCAGGCCCCGGCCTCCTTGGCAGTGGGTCTCACGGCCCAAGTTCTCCCTCACCTTCATTGCTGGCTTGAGAGGAGCTGAAAGTGAACTCACCAGGCCAGTGTGTAGAATAGCTGGTCCAACCAGACAAAAGTGCAAGTCTGATTACTTTCCTGCCAAGCAAAACAGATTTGGGGTACAAGCTTGAGGTTTGAGACCAGGAGTGGGGATGAGCAGGGCAGGGGATGGCTTGACTGAGAGGTGTCTCCAGGCATCAGGAATGACAGTATGAATCCCGTTTGTCCGTTCCTCCTCTTTTCTCATTCTTTTGTACTCTTTTTAAGCAACTTTAATCCACAAGCCACATAATTCATCCAACTATAGTGTATGACCCGTGGCTTTTCCTTGTACAGCCACCGTCGTCATTTTGAGAAGATTTCCATTACCCCCACAGGAAGCCCCTCACCCCTTGTTTGTCAACCTCAACCTTCCCTCCCCAGCCCTAGGCAAACACTAATCTACTTTCTGTCTCTATAGATTTGCTTATTCTGGACATTTCATATAAATGGAATCCTATAATTTGTGGCCTTTGGTGTCTGGCTTCTTTCACTTACCTTAATATGTTCTAGATATGGAACAGGTTGTAGTGGGTATCCGTGCTTCACCCCTTTCCACGGCTGAATGCAGTTCCATCCTATAGATGGCCCAGCTTCACCTAATGGTCATTGGTTAATGGACACTTGGATTGTTTCCACTTGTTGACTGTTATGAATAATGCTGCTATGAACATTCATAAACAAGCTTGTATGTGGACAGTGCTATTCCTTCCTTTGCATGTCTACCTAGAAGTGAAATTGCTGGGTCTTACGGCAACTCTCTGCTTCAGCTTCTGAAGAACTGGCAGCTGGTATTCCAAAGCTGCTGCCCCGTTTTCCATTGCTGTCAGCATTGCATGAGGGTTCCAGTTTCTCCACATCTTTGCTGACACTTGTTACACTTGATATTTTGTCTTTTGTCTTTTAATCATCCACATGGGTGTCAAGTGGTATCTTGGTATCTTATTAGCATTTCCCTAATGACTAATGATGTTAAGGATCTTTTCATATACTGTTGTCCTTTTACATTTCTTTTTTTATCTATTCAGATCTTTTGCCCACTTTAACCAGATTATATGTCTTTTTATTATTGTAAGAATTCTTTATATTTTCTATGTACAAATCCCTGATGCGGTGTGTGATTTGCAGATCTTCTCCAATCTGTGGGTCGCCTCTCCACTTTCTTGATAATATCCTTTGAAGCATGGAAGCAGTTTTTATTTTGATGGTGGCATTTATATTTCCTTCTGGTATTTTTGCTTTTAATTTCATATTTAAAAAAAACAAAAACAAAAAAATAAAACCCAAAAAACGTTGTCTGGGGCACCTGGGTGGCTCGGCTAAGTGTCTGACTTTTGCTTAGGGAATGATCTTATGGTTCGTGAGTTCAAACCCCACATTGGGCTCCATGCTGACAGCTCAGAGCCTGGAGCCTGCTTCAGATCCTGTGTCCCTCTCTCTCTCTGCCCCACCTCTGTTTGCGCTCTGCCTCTCAAAAATGAGTAAATGTTAAAAAAAAATTTTTTAAACCATTGTCTAATCCAAGATCATGAAAATTTACACCTATGTTTTCTTCTAATAGTTTTATAGTGTTAATCCTTACAGTTAGGTCTTTGGTCCATTTTGAGTTAACTCTTGTATACAGTGTGAAATAAGGGTTTGACTTCATTCGATCGTGTGTGGATATCCAGTTATTCCAACACCATTTGGTGAAAAGACTGTTCTTTCCCTCACTGAATTGTCTTGACACCCTCACTGAAAAATCAGTTATCTGTGAACGCGAGGGTTTCTATCTGAGCTCGTTTCGTTGATCTGTTTATCTGTCCTGACACTGTTTTTATGTAGTCCGTTTTGAAATAAGGAATTGTGAGCCTTCCAACTTTGTTGGGCATGAACAAAGGTTAAGCAACTTAAACTCAAAAGTGGCAAAGCCAGCACTGAAACTGGAGGCTTTCTTTTTTCTTTTCTTTTCTTTTCTTTTCTTTTCTTTTCTTTTCTTTTCTTTTCTTTTCTTTTCTTTTCTTTTTTTTTCTTTTCTTTTCTTTTTTCTTTTCTTTTCTTTCTTTCTTTTCTTTTCTTTTCTTTTCATCTTTCTGCCATCCTTCCTATCTTTCTTTCTTTCTATGTTTGTTTATTTTTGAGAGAGAGAGAGAGACAGAATATGACCAGAGGAGGAAGAAATACTTCAGGAGAGAAAGGGAGACACAGAATCTGAAGCAGACTCCAGGCTCTGAGCTGTTCGCACAGAACCTGACACATGGCTTGAACCTGTGATTGGGTGAGATCATGCCCTAAGCCTATGTTGGATGCTTAACCGACTGAGCCACCCAGGTGCTCCTGGAGGCTTTAAAGTCAAGCCAGGCTGTCACACCACACTGCGTGTTTGGGTACTTACTTTATGGCATGTCCTACTGTACAATGAAGAATTAACCATACCTGAATAGAGGTCATGCCTTTGCTCTGTGCTACTGAGTGGGGATCTCTTCGTCCCTTGAATGGCCTGTCTGATGGGAGTGTCTTTGTTTGCCTGGGAATCTGGCCGCTGCACAGCCTCATAGTGTGCTTTGTGATGGAGGACTCCGGAACACTCGGTATTAGTTGCTACCTCCAGAGGAACTGGGACTAAAGCCATGAGCCTGACAAACCAGAGGGGTTGGAGACCAAAGGTCAGCCACATGGGCAGTATGTGATCAAACCTCAGTATAAACTCTGCACAAAGGCTCAGGTGAATCTCCCTGATTGGTAATATTCTGCGGGTACTGTGACACACTGTGGCAGATGGACGCAACACCTTCGGGTCCGTGACCCTGAGGGAGGGCATGACCAGAAGCTCTGTGTTTAGACTCCTCCTGGACTCTGCTGTGTGCATCTCTCCCTCTGGCTGGCTTCATTCTGTACCCCCTCACTGTCAGATAAACAGTAATCAAAGTAGAGATCTTTTTTGAATTCTGTGAGTCATTTTAGGCAATTATCAAAGCTGAGGTGCTGGGGACCCCGGAGCTGGTAGCCAGATGATCTGAAGTGAGGGTCGTCCCTGGAACCCTGAACTTGCAAGCTGGTGTCACAAAGGCTCTCTTATAAAGGGGCTGTTCCCTCAGGCTGCAGTTTGGTAACTCCATTGCAAGTGGGGTCGGAAGTCCCAGGCCGACTCGGCAACATGGAGAACTGTTCCCTCAAACTTGCAGTTTGGCTGACTCAGGGCACCTATGCTCTGGGGACGGACAGGGGCACAAGTAGGAAAAAATAAGAAGACTCATTCCATTTGGGGAACTTTTGCTAAAGCCAGAGAGAGACAGAGTTCCCCACACCCTCAGAGAGGGCTAGACCGAGGCTCAAGGCTACCCCTGGCACGTGAGTTTGCGCGTGTATATGTGGGCATGTTTGTCTCCCGCTGCCCCCGCCCCCCAACTAGCTGCTGTTACCCCAGGCTCCCTGGCTACTACCTGAGGTCTCGTCAGCTCCATCCTGATCCCAGTGAGGCCTGCAACTCGGGCAGCTGTCGGGCCCAGCCACAGGCTTTGCGTGGATTGTTCAAGGCTCTTCCTACAGCCTGTGGGCCTCTCCTGGGCCAGGCCCTGGGCTTGTCTCAGGGACAGGAAGGCCCTCCAAGCTGCCTCGTCAGTGCTCCTGGGCCTCTGCTGGCAATCTGCTCTCTGACCAACATAGCTGGTGGCAGTGATGGCAAACAAAGAGTGAACCGAGGGATATTTTATTTTCCTGTTAAATTTGATTTAACAAGGTATAGACCAAATGAGAATGATAGCATAAAAGTAATTGCTTGATAAAATTCAATACAAATGCAAGATTTATGAAAAGCTCTTAATATGTTATGGATGGAAGGCATTTACTTAACCTGCTATAGAATATCTGTGGTGATTAATTCTATGTTAACTTGGCCAGGCCACAATGCCCCAATAGTTTGTCAAATAGTATTCGAGATGTTTCTGTGAAAGTGTTTTTTGGATGAGATTAACATTTAAATCAGTGGACTTTTGGGGCGCCTGGGTGACTTAGTCGGTTAAGCGTCCGACTTTTGCTTAGGTCATGATCTCGCGGTTCGTGGGTTCTAGCCGCGCGTCAGGCTCTGTGCTGACTGCCAGCTCAGAGCCTGGAGCCTGTTTCAGTCTGTGACTCCCTCTCTCTCTGACCCTCCCCTGCTCACGCTGTCTCTCTCTCTCCTAGAAATAAATAAAAATATTAAAAAAAATAAATAAATAAATCAGTGGACTTTGAGTAAAGCAGATTACGCTCCACAGCATGGATGAGCCTCAACTAATCAGTTGAAGGCCTTAACAGGCCAGACACTGACCTCCCGCAGCAAGAGGGAATTCTGCCACAGATTGCATTTGGACACCTTGCAACTCTTCCCTGAGTCTCCAGCCTGCCAGCCTTCCCTCAGATTTTGGACTCAACAAGCCTCCGCAGTTGTATGAGCCAATTCCTTACAATAAATCAGTCTCTCCCTCCCCTTCTCCCTCTCCCTTCCTCCCTCTCTTTCTCATATATATGTTTATATATGTATCTCCTGTTGCTTCTGTGTCTCTGAATAACCCTGACTAATACAGTATCTATTAGAAGGGGAAAAAATGCCCTGTCATCCTGAATGGTGAAATCTTAGACTCATTTCCACGCAGTTCAGGAAGAAGATCAGGATGCCGGCTTTCTCCATTTTCTGATAACTGTTTCTGTGGGCTGGGTGTCCAGGCATGATGTAGCTGGTCCTCTGCACTCAAGCTGTTGGCCGGGCCATCACCGCATTCAGCTCAAGGTTCAGCTGGGGAAGGGTCTGCCTCCAAAATGACACAGGTCAAGCTGGCAAGACTCAGGTTCCCATGGGCCGTTGACCTGAGGCCATCCCCTGGTTCCCTGTCACCAGGCTTGTCCACAGGGCAGGACACAACATGGCAGCTGGCCTCATCAATATGAGCGAGTAAGGAGAACCACGGGTTGGGGGGGTGGGGGGACCTGAAGGACATTCTAGAGAGTGAAAGTGACTAAACTCAGTGACAGGTCAGATTCAGGGGCATAAGGGGTGGGGGTGAAGATCCACAGAAGATGCAGAAGGAGTTTGCAGCCTGAAAGAACCGTGGTGGTGAGAGATGAGCAGCTTTAGAAAGACTTCTGGGCTTTGTGGTGGTGGGCTTGGTTTGAGAAGCTGTGGGGTGAGCTACCTCACAGGTATGTGTTCAGAACCACAGCCTGTCATTTTTTAGCATTAAACTCGGGAAATGCTCTGGAAGACTGGAGCAACAAATGCTGACCCACAAAGTTCTCAAGAAGTCGAGGGGCACCTGGGTGGCTTAGTCGGTTAAGCGTCCGACTTTCGCTTAGGTCATGATCTCACGGTTCGTGGGTTCGAGCCCTGTGTCGGGTTCTGTGCTGACTGCCAGCTCAGAGCCTGGAGCCTGTTTCAGTCTGTGACTCCCTCTCTCTCTCACCCTCCCCTGCTCACTCTGTCTCTCTCTCTCTCTCTCTCTCTCATAGAAATAAATAAAACATTTTAAAATTAAAAAAAAAAAAAAAAGACGGGCCCTGCTGGGGTTTTAAAAGGCACAGGTAGCAAGGAGGAGAGTGACCAGGCAGTTAGAGCCCACACAGAGTTCACAGGCCTGACAAGATCTCATACCTTTAGCTCATCACGGTCACCCACAGGCAGAGAAACTAACATCTGAGGATGTGATGGTACCTGGTCCAAGGTCACGTGACAAGCTCAAGACACTTACTGTTTATCTTGTGGTCATTACCTTTGTTTTCGGAACGGTACCCATTTCCCTGTGAGGATTGCCCCTTGCCTCCACTCTCAGCCCACAAGCTTCGGGCTCTCTCCCACCACTCTCACACCACAGTGGGCTTGTCGCCTGGCCCTCAGAACAGCGTGCTGCGTTCCCCTGGCCACAGAGACTGGTTTAGAGGCAAGTAGGTGACCAGCCAGAGAGACACCAAAAGACTTTTTTAGGGCCACAGAGGTGGGCACTTTCTCCCACTGAACTTGAGCATGTGCAGATGTGAACACATCTGAGGAGAGAAGAGCCTGTCTGAGGATGGAGGGAAGACAGAGGCCAGGCTCAGAGACAGAGACACTGTGCCATGCCAACAGTGTCAAGTCCAAGTTTAAATCCGTCCCTCTCGGGGTGCCTGGGTGGCTCAGTCGGCTAAGCCTCCGGCTTCGGCTCAGGTCATGATCTCATGGTTCGTGGGTTCTAGCCCTGTGTCAGTCTCTGTGCTGACAGCCAGCTCAGAGCCTGGAGCCTGTTTCAGATTCTGGATCTCCCTCTCTCTCTGACCTTCCCCTGCTCACACTGTCTCTCTCTCTCTCTCAGAAATAAATAAAACATTAAAAAAATTAAATCAGTCCCTCTCCTGACTGTTCAGTCATTCATTCCAATGAATTCCTCACCCCACCCAGCTGCTGTTTTTTGGCCTAATCTCACCTGGGTGGGAATTTTTGTTGCCCACAATCATGAATCCCAACTAATATGCAAGAAGAGAGTTTAATGGAGAGGAGAACATTGGATTCAGAACGCTGAGGTGGAATTAAAAATAGGCCTTTGCTTCTAGCCAATCAATGAAGACTTTTAGGATCAGATATATTCACTAGAGTAACTCATGCACACATGCCCAGGACACACATATGAGACTGTGGCAGCACTATTTATGTTACCAAAAAGCCAAATCCAAATGTCCATCAATAGGGGAATGGATAAATAAACTAGTATTCAAACAGTAGAATACTATTCAGCAAGGAAAAATAATCAACTATGGCTTTGCACATTGACATGAATGGATCTCAAAAACACAATGTAGGGTGAAAAAAGAAAGTATGGTTGCATTTGGATTAGTACCCATATATCCAAAACTTAGCAGTATATTATTTAGGGATATATACATCTGTAGAAAACATACAACAAGAGTCGGGAAAATGACAAACAAATACAGATTAGTTGTTACCCTTACAGGGAAGTTATGATTACACAGAATCATCCAGGAACTTTAAAAGCACTGGCAATATTCTGTGTCTCCAGCTGGGGTGGTAGGGGTGGTGAGTACTTGGGTATATGTGTTTTATGACTTTTACATCATATACATGAGTGTGAAGCATTTCACAATAAAAATAAATAATAAAAATGAATAATAATAAATAAAAGAGCCAGGATCAATACCTGGAATGTCACCACAGCCTGCAGTCAACAGGATGGTATTTCCACACCCAATTTGGTAGCTGTGTGTACAACAAAGGGAAGCAGCAATGGCTGCCATTTATTGAGCATGGCCCATGAGCTGAACGTTCCTAAACATTTGCATTTTCTTATTTAATTCTCACATTATCCCAGTGAGGTAGGTACTATGCTGAGAGGTAGGTTGTGAGGTGAGAGGTAAGTGCTGTGTAGGTCAAGAGGTAGGGAGTCCGTGAAATAACTTGACCAAGGCTATAGAGACAGCGAGAGAGGTAGAGCCAGGATCGGAACCCAGGACTCCTGCAGAAAACACATGCTGGGCCACCCCACGTACTGCCAAAGCCCACCCTCAGAGGCTGAACAAGCACCCCCCTCCCCATAATTCTCATTCCCAGTGCAGAGCTCTGGTAGCTACTAGATTGGCAGACATGTCACAAGCCAGGAGGCCTAAAGAAAGTCTCATCCTCCCACAGGCTCTAGAACAGCTGAATCTGTGTTGCAATTTGGGTCCAAACTGCCCAGGACTGGGAGGGAAAGTCAACTTGCTTGAGACTGAAGGAGTTCCTGGGACTCTGGAACTTCAATGCAGAAGTGT